ATTTTTGTCAACAAACATAATAATAAAAAAATTTCATTGTGGTAAACGAAATAATAATTTGATCTAAGTAAGAGTTGTTTCCCTGATTTGTACAAAATCCTTACGTGATAGGAAAAAATTAATAATATTTTCGAAGTCTGCGTAGCTGAATTATGGAAAATCCGTTATTAAAACCAAAACAACTTTTGTGAAGTTTAAATTCGTCGGCCTGTGGAATCTTTGTAATTCAAATAATTTCAACATGCATCGTATAAAAATATTCTTTACATTGTCAGTATACTTCAAAACTTGTCTACAAACCAGAAATAAGTTTAGCTTTTGTTTCTTTATAACTTACCTGTTTAAATCCTTGGTACATTAATTTCAGTTCTTTCTTCGTAAATTTTGTCGTCCTACATAATGCATCGATCCCGTCAGGTTTACAACGTATTACAGTCATTTCCAAGTCTTCCACAGGAATTTCTAGGAAATACAAAATGTTATCTGGTACGTTATATAACATAATTATACTTAGGATACTTGAAACCGTACACAAAGTAGAAAGATGCAAAAAGACATAAAGGTGAGAAAATTTGGGCGAAAGACCTAAACAATACTTACATCTCCATTAGAGCCCATGGACAAAACCTGGGTGAAGGGTAGGAGGATAGATAAGGTTATTGTATGAAATAATGGCGTAGAGATATAGTGTGTGTAGGTTATAAGAGTGGCAGTCAGTCCATTAGAGAGGAGAGTAGTGAGGTGTTTTTAACTGGCTGTCTTCTCTCTAGTCAGTAATTTAAAATTAGGGGCGATAAACAGCCTAAATATCTTTGCCATAAATACAAAATACAAATTCTCACATATCTAAAAATAACATATTTTTACACGAAGGTAGTAGTTGCTTGTACGACAAGTGTGTGTTTGAATAATCTCAAACTTTTATGCAGTTACCAACCGCTATAGTACGTGAAAGTAGCAAAAACAGGTTTGTATATGTATAGCCGATTAAATCTCAATGAAAACTCGCAAATTTCGACCTTGTTTGGGTTCATGTCATCATCAGATAATCAGTTTCCCTTCCTTAAAGGTGCCCCCTCTAGCGGCTCAGCGGAAGTCAGAATGCTTATAACACTAAAAACTTGGTTTCGATACCCATGGGTGGCACAACACAGATAGTTCATTGTGTAGCTTTGCGCCTTACAACAAAATAAACAAACAAATCCTTCAAGGTAGAGCTGAATTCAAAAGACAAACATTGCCATCGTCATGATTTAAAAAATACTGTGCACATTTTTGAATTTCAGTTACATCTCTTAATTTTATTTCTGTTACATTATCAACTATAAAGATTAGTTCAGTGGCTGTCCATTTAATTTCATGGTTAATTTCTGAAAAATATTCAGGAATAAAAGATTGATCAATTTTCTTAGACAGAAAGTTTTGAAACTTTCTTTTGATTTAATGATGTTTTAACTTATGAATTGTTTATCCCTCATAACAGCTACTAGACTAATTAGTACACTTATTGCGTAGCAAATATAAGAGAATTAAATTAAACCCAATGCATAAGTTAGCTAAGCTAATCAAATAAAATTTAATAAGCTTTGGTGTAATGTTAAATATTCAGCCGGTTGTAGGATGTATAACAAGCACATTCAGGACAAAACTTATTTAGAGAACATGTATTATCTAGTTCAAATATTTGGTCATAATATTAGTATTTTTAGTTTGTTTTTAAATATATAACTATTTACGTTATTTAGTGATGGAAATAGGTACACAATTTGCCCAAAGTTCGTAAATATGTGTAGGCTTACACTGCTTTCTTAGTCGGTAACAGAAGTAGTGAAATTAATTCAGTTTTTAAGTACGTAATTTTACATTAAAGCTTCAACATTACTTGCATTTAATATAAATAATAAATGGTAATGTAAGAAAATCTGATATTCGTTGTAAGAAAATTTTTGGTGAAAAAAATCCTTCAGAGAAGAACTATTAACAGGAAAAAAAACATATATTGAAAACGTTTTTTCAGCTCAAACTGTTAAAAGGTTTCGTTTTGAAATGTTTAAGTAACGTTATTTCACGACTGATACTTGCAAATATTCCTACAGTAGGTGACAAAAGTAATAACGCTATAAAAGTGAGTATTATTTTATGAAAAGTTAAGTTTCTTATATATAAACATTTTCAATTAAATGGATGATATTAAAAGTTGTAATATTTATAGGTATTTCGAAAACAAAAAGATGTTACTGGTTTTAAGTTGTATAAAGACTAAAAATAAAAACGTGTAGAAGTATTGAGAGAGGAATCAACTATTTTTATTAACACTATAAAAGTGTTATAGAAATTTGTCTTGAAACGTAATGCAATATTAAACAAAATCAAAACATACCTTTATATTAAAAAAGTTACATATACATATAAGAACAACCATTCCATATAACGTTTAATAATATGTGTCTAAAAATAATAATCATTGTTAAGCTAAAGCGTTGCATTAAAATAGACGAATATTAAAGCCTTTGCGAAAGTGTGTTGTCTAAACTTCCTATGTATTGATTGTACGTACATGAGGCCTGATAGTGATTCCAGCCAAGTTAGAAGGACAGAATAACTCTGCAGTGAATCTATATATAGAACCGAACTTTTGTCCAAATCTGGGATACTTCTACAGCTATTCTAAATGCTGGAATCCTACTTTTAATACGTTTTTACAGATCCAAACACTCTTCCATCACATTAAAAATGGAAGCTTCATATCTGTTTTAAATTAAGGGAAACAATCACTTAACAAAGTAATAAAAGTATTGATGTGAACTAGGACTTGACAACTGTAGCACATATATTAATATTTTAATATTGATATGAACTAGGACTTGACAACTGTAGCACATATATTAATATTTTAATATTGATATGAACTAGGAGAGCCGTATATGATCAACGCTGCGTGGCGGAGGTATCCGCTCTACTGAGTTTCCCTTTAGTTTACGTGTGATATTGCTTATCAAAACAGTTTGGTTTGAATTTCGCGCAAAGCTACACGAGGGCTGTCTGCGCTAGCCGTCCCTAATTTAGCAGTGAAAGACTAGAGGGAAGACAGCTAGTCATTACCACCCACCGCCAACTCTTGAGCTACTCTTTTACCAACGAATAGTAGGATTGACCGTCACATTATAACACCCCCACAGCTGAAAGGGCGAGCATGTTTAGTGGGACGGGGATTCGAACCCGCGACCCGGAGATTGCGAGACGAGCGCCCTAACCAAAATATTTTACATGCACAAACCAGTCTTATTAGAATAAAGGGATCAGCCACATAAAAATATGGTAGAGAAATATAGTCAATTTATATGAAATGCAAACCTTGTAAATATGTAATATAAAAGTGAGTAAATTAACCAACAAGGATTTGGGGAAACTTCGCCCCCTTTATTTATATTCATGTTGCCGCTTGTTAGGGTTGCAATATAAGTTTTAATCAGATGAAAATAACAAAGAGACACATTAGAGTCAATTTCTGAAATAAAATCAAGAAAACAACTTCACTGACATTTAGGTGCATACTTTTCGAGTTTTGTAAGCTGTAAACTGAAAAGTACAAGAAATAATGTTTAAATTCAGTTGAAAAGTGATACGGCTTGCCTTACGGAATTAGATGACGTTAGACGTTTTCACGTTGTAGTTTAACTCTAGCAACCAAACCTTTAAATATTAAATGCTAAAACTTTTCACAATAATTTTTAGCACCTGGAGATGTGCCTTTACTGTGAAGAAAAGACTTCATTCGATATAGAAGTATTTGAAAATTTTCCAAAAATCTTTAGGCAGAATATGTTAGTCAGATCGTTGCTCCGCCTAACTAGCCGCAAGGTTTCAATAAGCATAATGTTTTCTTTTAAAGTAAAAAGCGAGCTTCCGTAATCGTCATTTAAAAAAGATAGTTAAGGTTAAAGTTTCATTAAACTTTCAAGAATATTACTGTTAATGATATAAAAATAATTTAAACGATATAGTGGGCTATGAACTGTTTTCGAGCTATTTTGATTTTAAAAGTTTGTAAGTTTCAAAGCCTATTGTTGATAATAGGCCTGTGGAATAAGTTTTCTATGGACTTCTGCTGGTTTCCTCGATTTCGAGGTGACGGTTTGGGCTCCATCAGACTTGATGTAAGATTCAGCATACAGCCCGAAATTTCTTCTCAAAATCAAGAAGAAACGGAAGGAGAAATACATAGAAAACGTGATCCACATGTTGAACACATTGTCTAAATTGTAGGCCTAGTAATAAGTAAGAAGAACCACTTCTACTCCAGTTGGCCCGGATTTAACTCTATCCAATATGGAATTAACCACACTATATCTGATATATTCAGTGCCGACGAGGCTCGCCAAATGCTGTAATTGATCAGGACAACAGACATAACAGTCCAATCCAATAAACGTGGTAGTAATTTTGATTTAAAAACGTTTAATCATAAACTGTAACGTTTAGGACTGAACGCAATCGGGGATGTTCAGAAAATTTTATCTTCTGTCTCACTCAAGATACTACTTGAGGATAAAAATTAAATCAAAGAAAGAAAGAAAGAAAAAATGTAAAAATAGAATAAAAACCTTGCACATTTGATTTTTCAACTTGAATGTTATGAATGTCATGCAAGCAAAAGAGCCGAAGGCGGCACCAGGAGTGAGCTATCACACAAAATCAACGGGTGGGGGATCTATAGATCCGATACCCAAAATTTTTTATGTGGGAGGAAAACGGGAGTACCCCGAGAAAAAACACTTTCACTACCTGGACGCCGAATATTCTATCCGGGTAGTGCCTTAGCCAGGAATCTGAAACGAGAGGATTATTATAACACTACAATTAGATTATTATAACACTACAATTAGATTATTATAACACTACATTGAGATTATTATAACACTACATTTAGATTATTATAACACTACATATTAATGATTAAATATAAAATATGGAGATTTGTTGGTGCGGCATGTGTTAGGTGTTGCGGCTAGTGTTGTAAATTGCTGTGTTGACGAGTTTCTTCTATTTGCTATCTGATAATATCTTTTAGCTAGTTTTATAATTCTTTCTTTAAGGCTGGGTATAATGTTAAGTGCATCTAGGTAGCTAGATGGGGTGTATTTCGGTAATCTCAGAGCTGTTCGGATTGTTTGATATTGTAATACTCCAAGTTTTGTCATTAGATCATTGGACCTGTTGCATGTAATCATGCAGTTTATATTCAATGAATGGTCTGATGTATGATTTGTATATAGTGAGGACTGAGTCTGGTGCACAGCCTTTGTGAGTGCCTCCTATTTTCTTTAAGTACATGATCCGTTGACTGACTGATTTGCGTTCTTTTTATAAGTGGTCTGTCAGTTTAGCGATCTATTAAAAGTAATGCCAAGAAATTTAACAGTTTTATGAAATTAATGACATAACAGTGGTCAAGACGTTAC